ACAAATAATTCTTAAGGCATTGGGATTCGCGAGAACAAATCACATTTACTTTGAAAGTAAGTCTCAATTGTTTTGACCAATAAACAATGAAATTCATGAGTTGTATGAGATGCGAAATTTCTTATTACAGTAATCAACAAAAGGAATTCAAAATATATCAGAGGCCAATTAAATAACATAAGGTTGTCAAACAAATTATTCATTCGATGCAATCGGCCAAAATATTCAAAGTTATCATACGATCATGCTCATGATTCATACAACAATTTATTTATTCACAACACATACTCTGATACCACATGTAAACATCATAACAGACCTTGAATAAAAAATTTGGTGTACACGAAAAACTTACTGGATGCGGAAGACGACTTAATTTGTGATCTTGATCTTGATGATCACATGGGGCTCGATTGATTGTTTGATCTAAACTAGTTTCTCCCTCCTGACCAATTGCTTAACGTAGCAGAAAGTAATGGGATAATACTGCGTACCCTAATAGGAGGAGAGATGACTAATTTATATAGGAGTGACTTTAGATCTGGTACGTCCATCAAGTATCCAGATTAATGGCTTAGATTTGTTTGACTATTAAATAAAGGCCTAGCCCAATAGGATAATTAATTGTGAGCCCAATGCTTTCGGGCCACATATTCTTACAGATGACTCCTTGGTTTTTTGCAAGGCTGACCAAGGCTAAGCACTGAGGCTACTACATATCCTGCAAATCTATCATAATTTCTCAGGTCAAAAGGTGAATCTCACCAAATCAACAGTTTTCTTCAGTAGGAATACACCATCATCTCTCAAACTGTCTTTGTGCTCTATTTTGGATGGGGTTCAGGCTCATAATTCAACAAGGTACCTTGGTTTGCCTTTGGGAATTGGAAAGTCCAAGAAAGAAGCTTTTGAATTCATCCTCCAAGCTGATAGAAAAAGATTGATAAGCTGGCAAAATACATACTTGTTGATGGCGACGAGATCGCGCTTGCGTATCTAGCAAAATACGATCCTCTTCAACTTTATGATATTTAATTATTTTATTATCATAGTTATTTATGCTATTTTATTTGCTTGCTTTATTTAATTAGGAGAATATTCCTTTTTCTTGTTTAGCAAGATAAGGATTTAGAAATTTAGACTCTATTTATTTTCTATCTTTGGCATTCAAGATGGTCGGTTTTTTATGAAATAAGAATACATTTTTGAGATTTATCTCTCTTGTTCCTTTCGTTCACGCTGCGCTACATCACTTGTCCAATGCAGGGAATGAAGTATTGGTCAAGGCTGTGATAAATGCGCTGTATATCTTTGCAATAAGCTATTTCACATTACCAGTTTCTATCTGCCATGAACTGAGTAAGAACAATGCAACTTTCTGGTGGAGTAAAGGCTCTAAGCAAGAGAAGATGATTCACTGGAAGCAATGAAACAAATTAAAGACAGTGGTTGATCATCTCGTCAGCAGGATGGAACAATTGGGTTGACCTAATTCTTATCTTTGCTAAGGGACTGTGTAAGGAAATCAGAAATGGAAGAGAGACTAAGATTCAAGATCACGACTGGGTTCCAAAGCTCAACCACAAGAGTCCCCAACCTCTGGAACCTTGGAGAGATTCTCTTGTATAGGTTATAGACTTGATAAATGCTGATGGAAGGAGGTAGAATACCCAACTCCTAAATACAGCCTTTTCAGATATTGATAGGATGGCTATTCTTGCAGTGGACTCTCTTAGGCCTATCAATCAGATAAATGGAAATGGAATTTTGATAAACCAGGGAAATTCAAAGTTGCAGGGTCTTATTCACATCTAATGGAAGGCAAAATTCTGAGAATGGACTCAGCTGAAGGCAGTACCACAGGCTTAAGAGACAAGCATATCAAGAAGATGAGTTGAAAGATGAGGGTCAAAGGGAAACACTTCATTTGGAAGTGTTTCAATGGAATACTGCCAGTGAGTGTGAATGTGGCCAAGAAAGGGATTCAGGTTGATGTTATTTGCAAACAGTGTGGAGAACAAGAGAAAACTATAAAACACTTGTTTTTTACTTGCAGGAAAGTCAGGGTGCTGTGTAAGATGTAACCGGTGAGTGGGATGGAGTGCTACACAGTGAGACATCATTTCGGTTATGGTGGTGGCAGGTTTGTTCTACTGACTCATCTATGATATCTAAGGATCGCATACAATTGACTACGTATATCATGTGGTGGTTGTGGCGGTCAAGAAATTTGTGGTTGTTTGAGAATGCCTGGATGCCGGAAGATGTGATGGTGAGAGGTGCTTGGAAGGTATGACAAGAGTACGGGGAGTAGGGTGTTGCTGGATGGTTGAGTAGTAAGGTGTAGTTAGAGTTTTTGCTTTTATGATGTTTTTGGTTTTTTGCTTTCAGTTGGTTTTGGTTCCGCTTCCTTAGTCTAGGTTGGTGTTTCTGTTTCTAGGTTGGTTTGGAGGGTTTACGGCCTTAAGTCCCGGGGATTTGTCCCTGCTTAAGGTTTGTTGTTTGCAGGGCCGGCCTTGGCCCAGGGCGACCTGGACAACAGCCCAGGGCCCAATTCAATAAGGGGCACCAGACCGGCCCATTTGTATTATTCCTTTTAACTTATTTTCCTTTTATTTCAAAAATA